GCCTGTAGTCCCAGCTACTTGGGAGGCTGAGGCAAGAGAATCGCTTAAGCCCAAGAGTTGGAGGTTGCTGTGAGTTGTTATGCCATGGCACTCTACCCAGGGTGAATCCTCTACCCAGGACTCTGTCTCAAACAAAAAATAAAAAAATCAAAAAAATGCCATTTTCAAAATAATTGGGGAAATGTGAAAATGGATTTGGTATGAGAATACAGTAAGAAATAATTGTTTTGTTTTGTTTTTTTTTTGATACAGAGTCTCACTATGTTGCCCTTGGTAGAGTGCTATGGTGTCATAGCTCACAGCAATCTTAAACTCTTGGGCTTAAGCAATTCTTCTGCCTTAGCCTCCCAAGTAGCTGGGACTATAGGCGCCCACCACAATACCCAGCTATTTTTTGTTGCAATTGTCATTGTTGTTTAGCTGGCCTGGGCTGGGTTCAAACCCACCAGTCCTGGTGTATGTAGCCAAAGCCCTACCCACTGAGGTATGGGCACCGCCTAAGAAATAATTGTTAATTTTACCAACAGTGAAAATGGGATAGTGAGTATGTAAGAAACACCCATACTTTTACAAGATGCATAAACTGAAGTACATAGGGATAAACTGCCAAGAGATCTGGAATTCTGCTTTGACATACATCAGGAAATAAAAACCACAGCTAAGGCCAGGAACAGAATCCTAGCACTCTGGGAGGCTGAGACGGGTGGACTGCTTGAGTTCAAGTGCTTGAGACCAGCCTGAGAAAGAGCGAGATGCTGTCTCTAAAAACTACCCAGGCATTGTAGTGGGCACCTGCAGTCAGTCCCAAGCTACTTGGGAGGCTAAGGCAAGAGGTCACTTGAGCCTAGGAGTTTGAGACTGCTGTGAGCTATGATGCCATAGCTCTCTACCTAAGGTGACAAAGACTCCATTTCAAAAAACAAAACAAAATAAAACAACCTCCCCCCAAAATCACAGCTTAACAGTGGCAATAAATTGGTAACTGCTGATATGAGGAATTACTATACTATTTTTGTTTACATTGGAACATCTTTTTAATAGAAAGTTTCCTCTAAAAGCATAGGCATGAACCACTGTGCCTAGCCATTTTCCGTTTTCTTGTTATATCAACTTGACCCTGCAGAAGAACATTAAAAGTAATGCTAGCAGTTAACACCCCTGTCTTGTTCCTAATCTGAACGCGTGTCGTCTACTGGCTCTCAATTAGAGATGAATGGTGAATCACCTGGGGAGTCATCAAAATATACAGTTTGGGCCTCAACCCAGACCTACTAAATTTAAATCTCCATGGGTGGGGTTTAAGCATGAACATTTTTTTTTTTTTTTTGAGACAGAGCCTCAAGCTGTCCCCCTGGGCAGAGTGCCGTGGCATTACAGCTCACAGCAACCTCCAACTCCTGGGCTCAAGCAAGTCTCCTGCCTCCGCCTCCCAAGTAGCTGGGACCACAGGCGCCCGCCACAACGCCCGGCTATTTTTTGGTTGCAGCCGTCATTGTTGTTTGGCGGGTCCGGGCTGGGGATTCAAACCCGCCACCTTAGGTGTATGTGGCTGGCGCCTTAGCCGGTTGAGCTATAGGCGCCGAGCCAGCATGAACATTTTAAAAGAGGGTTCTATCGACCTTCCGGTGATTCTTTGGCTCACCCCAGTTAAGAACCACTGCTCTTTATTATAACAACAATAAACTATCTGCTATTGTTTTCTCATAGACCTCCTATTAAGATTCCTAGCTTACCTAGTGTACTTTTATTATCTTACTTTAAATTTCAGAAATTGATGTTGAATGTTACCAAATGTCTTTTCACCATCTGTCAGGAAGATCATAAGATTTTTTTAAGGCAAGTGTAAAACAGTTTATTGAAGCAAAGAAAGATAGGTTTATAGAGTAAGATACATTTGCCATAGATAAGGAATGGGCCTCCATTGTCACCACAAAAGGGCAAAGAGGTCAGATTCTTCTTTATAAATTATAATAAAGCACATTTATATATTTCTTAGTATTGAACAGTATTTTATTTATTTTTTTTTTAGAGACAGAGTCTCACTTTATCGCTCTCAGTAGAGTGCCATGGCATCACAGCTCACAGCAACCTCCACTCCTGGGGTTAGGCAATTCTCTTGCCTCAGCCTCCTGAGTAGCTAGGACTACAGGTGTTGAACAGCCTTTAAATTCTTAGAATACAGAGTTGGATTTGATTTACTAATATTTTATTTAGGATTTGTATGTATGTGTGTATATATATTTATTTATTTAGAGAAGTGAGACTGGTCTACAGTTTTTCTTTCAATATCTTTACTATCTTTGTGAGGTTTGGCATCACAGTTTTATGTAAGCTTTACTTATACCCACCAAATGAACCAAGAAGTTTTCCACCTCTTACTATGTGCGAAACCTCTTTAAATAACATTGGAAGTCTCTGTTCTTTAAAGGGTTGATAGAACTCACTTGAAATATTTGTGCCTTTATTTTTATTATTTTATAGTATATTAATTTATTTAGTAAACATTTATTACCACTCTAAAATTCTGGAATTAGGGGGATATCAATCAATGCAAAGCAACATTTATTAAGTACCTACTACCGTGTATCTAAGCTTAGGCTATATATACAAAAACTAAAAAGACGTGGTCCCTGCCCTCATGGAGCTCACAGTTTAGCTGAAGCAGACAGTCACCAACTGTGCCTTTATTATTAAACAAAGTTTGGCACATTTTCTAATACAGTATTAGTACCGTCTGCAGGCACCTAATAGACTAGGTGATTGTGTAAACTGTTTTTTACAAAGAATACTAGACTACTCTGAAGTCACTGGTTTACTGCACGCTAAGCACGTGAGAGTAAGGAAGTGCTTTACAACTCTAGAAGACAAATCAAAAGTTCAAGGATCCCTATAGACTTACTCTCTATTTCATTAAATGAACGGAACCATCATAGATATACACTGATACCACTAGCCCAAGGCAGCATAGGTAAGTGGAAGATCCATAAAAAAGAGAGTTGATGGGGTGGCACCTGTGGCTCAAAGGAGTAGGGTGCCAGCCCCATATGCCAGAGGTGGTAGGTTCAAACCCAGCCCCAGCAAAAAAACTGCAAAAAAAAGAAAAAAAAAAGAGGGTGACATGCAATCCCAACTCTCCAGACCTTACCCTTCCATCTTGTAGCTTCTATTTTCACAACTACATCTTATTTTAAGCTACCAATAATTCTCACACAAACCATCATCAATGGCCTCCTAAAATATTTCCCCATTCCACCCTTGCTCTGTCCCATTGGAGGGTCTCCCATATGCCATTCTTTCTACCTAGACTATCCCTTTCAATGTTCACTTTTGTCCTTCATATCTCAGCTCGAGCACTATTTCCTTCATAAAATTCCTAAACACGCCCCACTATATATTAGCTCTTCCTTCTATGTTCTCACAGTATTTTGTCACTTCTTTAGAACACTTACATAGTCTATAATTCTCTGGCCATTTAATTAATAGATCTCTCTGAACAGATTGTAAACTTCATGAGGACATTCTCTGTGTCAGCTTTGATTATTAGTGTAGGCCCAGCTTTTAGCACAATGACTGGCACGCAGTGAGCATAATTAATACTGGATGAATGAACGCTAATCCAGGGATATGTAGTCAGAAGAAAATGCCAGTTGCCACACTCATTCTTTATGATGTGCTCAGTATTCAATACTTGACTAAACACCACTTAAGAATACAGATGTAGTAAACTAACATCTATTTAAGGGCAGTTATTTACTGACATGTTTATGGAAATGGACAAGTGTTGTTTTCTTACTTGTAAATTCCTCGTGACATATTTTCAATGTATTTAGCTTTGTCTTGGACTCCACAGTGGTAATGGTAAGTCTTAACACAGGCTTTTATTTCACATCCAATAGTAGCCCCGGGCTGACTGCAAAGGGTACACTTCTGTTTAAGGAAAAAAAGAATAATCATAAGCAGTATTTCAAAGTTTATGCAACCTTATTCTATTTTAGTCATATTTTGGCCAAACATTCTAGTTTACAAAGAAAACAGCAGCCATTTTAAATTAAAAAAGAGAACATTGAACTTATTATATAGCATATAATTAAAATAATGCTGCAATTTAAACTAAATTTTGAAAAATTTACTAATATTAAGCCATCCACTTGTTTTTCCATTATTTACCATTTATTCAGCTTGTTAGAATAACTGTATTAACTATTAAGTTTTGACATCTAAATATACATAAGACGCACCTTAAATACCCAAATACACAAAAAGAAGGAATACTTTAGTGGTTGACTTCTTTCCCTTCCCTGAGATCAAATCCTTTCCTTTTATAATTGGGGAAAGAATGAGAAACCAGGAAAGCAGTCCCCCTAGATAGGCAAAAGGACAGAGGAAGAAAAAAAGGGATGAAATTTTTTCAAAATTTCTCAATTTGTCCTAGATGAGCCTTGCCTAAAGAATGCTGGAGATCTGAAGATGCCTGTTGAAAAAAGGATTTCATGGTTAAATAAGTTTAAGAAATGATAGGCAGGCTTGGCGCCTGTGGCTCAAGTGGCTAAGGCGCCAGCCACCTACACCCAAGGTGGTGGGTTCGAATCCAGCCTGGGCCCAACAAACAACAATGACAGCTGCAACCAAAAAAATAGCCAGGCGTTGTGGCGGGTGC